GGGCGACACCGCGAGGGGAGGCGGGGAACGCACCTGTTGACCTGGTGCTACTCCGCGCAGCTGCAAACCAAATTCGAAAAGCCCCTGCAGCCTCACCTTGCCGCGGCCGCTCACGCGGTAGCGCGCGCGGCTCCACTGCTTGGCAAGGGCCAGTAGATGCGGCAGCCTGCCCCGCTGCACGTCTGTCAGGCCCGCCCCCGTCCTGTACGCAACTGGACACCAGCGAGTAGAACCTAGCGCCAGAAACGAGCACGCGACCGCCATCAAGTTCACCCGGAGCTCGGCGATCTGCAGCTGCCTCCAGCGCGCTCTGCAACGCGGGCTGGTGCACGGAGGGGTGCCGATGACCCGCGGGAACGGAGGCGCCATCGGGAATAATCCAAGCAGGTACGCGTCGGGGACTCCGACGGTGCACCGGAGAAAATCATGCATGAATACAAATAAAACGCCAGACTGGTCCTGGCCTGCAGGAGGCGGCGCGCGACGCCGATCTGCGCCCGCGGGGCCCCCGCCTCGAGGCCCGCATGCAAGCCAGCCGCGCCGGCCACGCCTCCTCCTAGCCATGGCCGCCGCCGGCCCCCTTCTTTGGGTTTCGTGGCGGCCGCTGCACCTTCACGTTCTTCACAGGGTGGGTGGTGCAGCCGCGGACGTCGTGGGACCTCCGACGGATCTCGGCCAGCGCGGCAGCGCCCGTCGTGTTGGCCACCGCCGCCGCTGTCCCCACGGGCCCAGCTGGGCGCCCGAACGCGCCCGCGCTGGCTGCCCTGCCCCAGGCCCCCGCGGCCATCAGCGCCCCGGGGAGCCCCGGCACAAGTGAGAGGCGCCAGGCGAGCCGCTGCAGCCCGGCGCCCCTCTGCACCTGCCCGCGCGCTGTCGGCAGCAGCAGGAGCACGGGCTCGGCCATCTCGTGCTGGCCCCGAGCCAGCAGGTCGGCCACGCGACTCAACCCGCGACCCAGGCAGGCCGTCGTCCTGTTGCCTCGATCGATCGTGCCCGTCAGCACCTCGAGATCCACCGGGCTGCGACTGCGCGGGTCAAGGTCGGCGTCCGTCCCCGCTGGCGCCTGCGCCGAGCTGGCCCTGCTCGCGGCCGGCCCCGCCGCTGGCCCCTGCCCCAGGCCCCTGCGAAGCGTCTCCCGGCCGGCCGCGCCGCGGGCACCTGGCACCCTGCCAGCAGCGCCTGACCCATCGCCGCGGCCCGGCTGCGATGGCCCCACCCGCGCGCCGCCAGCACGCATCCGTTGCAGCTCGGCCACTGCAGCCGAGCGCGCGGTCAGCTCCGCGGCCGTCGCGCCAGCTGGAGGCGGCCCGGCAGCGGGGGGGGCGGCGCAGCGGCGGGCGTGACGGCGTTGGCCAGGCCCTGGGCCGCGATGCCCTCGGGGGGCCCGGGCACCTCGCCCTCGGCGGCCTCCGCCCGCCGCCCGCCCTGGCGCCGCGCACAACCGACCCGAGCCTGCGCCCCCTGCCTCGCGACGAGCTGCATCCAAAGCCCCAGCGCGGCGGCGGCTGCAACCGGGGGCTGCGCCGCGCGCCTCCTGCCATAGCCGACCGGGGGCTGCAGCTGGCGGGCAGGCGGCGCCCGCCTCGACGCGCGACGCGTCTGCGCCGCCTGGCCGCGCGGCCGCGAGGGCAGGAGCGCCTGCAGCCTCCCGGGCCACCATGCGCCTCTGCACATCCTGGGCGAAGCTCTGGAGACTCTCCAGCATCACCGCCTGCGTCGCGACCCTAGCCCTGCCGACGGCCATGGGCTGCCCCTGCCGCGGGAGCCCCGCCTGCTCTCGACACGGCTCTCCTCGAAGCGGCCCGTGCTGCCCACACGGCTGCGCGGCGCCAGCCGGCGCGCGGCTCCGAGAGCCGCGCTCTGGGCAGCTGGCCTGGCAGCACGGGCTGCGGCGGCAGCGGACCCCAGCAAGAGGGCGGACTGCGCGTCGGCGACCCCGGCCGCGTGGCCGGCGGGCGGCTCCCGCGGCTCCCCGCGCGCCGCCGCCGCCGCAACGGCGCCGCCACCAGGCTCCGCGTCGACCAGCACGAAAGCGACAGCGGCCAGATGGCCGTCGTCCGCGGGCAGCAGCTCCGCTGGGCCGCCCCGCGTCGCTCAGTGGGGGTTTGGCCCTGGGCAGACGTCCGCTGGCAACGACCGCGTCAGCACCCCGCGCGCCACGATGATCGTCGCGATGGGCGCGACGATCCCGCAGCCCTCCGGGGCCGCGCCCTGACGCACCACCGAAACGTCCACCTGCAGCGGCTGGCCGAAGTCCGTCAGCTCGGCTGTCTTCGACTCCCATTCGAACTCCTCCGCGCTGGCGGCGTGCGCCCATCCCGGCCACACGAGAGACATGGCGCTCAGCGGGGCCTGCGGGGCGGCCGGCTGCCGCAGCGCGGCGCGGGCAGCGGCGCCTCGCGTCTGCATGCCCCCGCCTCCGCCTCCGCGCTCTGCTCGCTTGCGAACCTCCGCCGCCGAGCTCCCGACGCGAAGCCAGAACGCCCGCCCGGCAACGTCGCCGCCTGCGCCGACCACGCTTCGCCGCCGCCGCAGTGCACGCCCCGAAGCACGGGACGCAGCGGGTGGCGCCACACCGCGTGGGCCCCGCTCTCGGCTCGCGCGCCGCCCGGCGGGGCCGCCTCAGCCGCCGCGGCTCTCCACCGCGGAATCGGCGCGGCCGCGCATGGCCGCGGCGCCGCACTGGCCGGCGCAGCGCGGGCCTCACCAGGGGCACAGCCCGAGGTCGCGGCGGCGAGCTGCGCGGCGGCCACACCCGCCAGGGCGGCGCCCACGCCGCCCGCCACGTGCTCGAGGACCTCCACGTGCCGCTGGCGCCTGGAGCCGGCGCCGTCTGAGCCCTGCGGAGGCGGGGCCGCGCCCGCGGCCAAGACGGCAGCGCGCCGCCGCAGGCGCCCGCGCCGCCGCCGCAGCCACCCGCGGGGGTCGCCTCCGCCGCGCGCGGCAGCCGCGCGCTCGAGGGACCCCGCGCTACATGCAGCGCCCTCGCGCGAGGGAGAGGACCGCGGACCGCGCGAGCGCTGATCCGTGACGGCTGAGGCCATTGCTCACGTCGTGAAAGCTTACAAGTCAAGATTAAGCCCCATTGGGGGGCTTTTACGCCGGAGTGGGCCTCGGATTTAGCGGGAGTAAGCCGGATTAAAAAGGATTAAACGGGATCAGGCTGGAAAAAGCGGGATGAAGCCGGATTAGGTTGGATTTCGGACCAAGGCAAAATCGGAATTTGACCTCCCAGGAGTTGCATCCGAAACAGTGTGAGGTTTCAGGGTGACATGGGGCCCGCTGCATAATGCCAGCGGGCGTAAACCATTCAAATATCTCTCTCTCTCTCTCGTCGGCCGCCTTCGTCCTCTCTCCGTTTCTGTCTCCCCTCCCCTGCTCCGTAGTGCGTCCCCTGCCCCTCCCACTCAGAACCTCTTTGGAGGGCGGAGTCAAAGACGACCGTAGGAAACCAAAAACAAACAACCAAAAACGAAAAAAACAAAAACTATCATGGGCCACTCCCCCCCCCCCCCTCCCCCGCCCCCCAGAAAGCTCCCCGGAACTGCGGCACTTGCTTGTTTGCTCTTGTGTTTTCCCGAATCCTTCCATTGATTCCTCCCTCCAGCGGGATTCTGATTTGGAGGAGCGGGAGGACGAGGAGGAGGCGGAGCGTACCCAGTTAAAAATAATTGTTTTATTTGTATGTTTTGGGGAGGACGAGGATGGGAGGAGGAGGAGGAGGAGGAGGAGGAGGAGGAAGAGGAGGAGGACGACGACGACGACGACGCCGGCGGCGACGACGACGGCACACCGCGCTCGAGCAGGCACGCTGCACTTCGACCGTGAGCCTGGCTAAGGGCACTGAGGTTGTAGGCAGGAAACGATGCTCTTGGTTGCGTTTGCTCTTGATCCTTGCGCTACCCCCTGTGACTCGATGCGGCAGAAGGGGGCATCAAGAAACATGAACAACCAGAGCCAGAGCCAGAGCCAGAGCCAGAACCACAGCCAGGAGCAGAACCAGGACCAGAAGCAGAAGCGGAACCAGAACCAGAGACAGAACCAAAACCAGAGCCAGAAAGAGAGCCAGAGACAGAACCAGAGCCAGAACCAGAGCCAGGACCAGAACCAGAGCCAGAGTAAGCAGCAGAACTAGAAGCAGAGCCAGAACCAGAGCCAGAGACAGAGCCAGAGCCGGAGCCAGCGCCAGAACCACAATCAGAACAAGAGCCAGAGCCAGAACCAGAACCAGGACAAGAGCTAGAACCAGGGCTAGAACCAGAGCCAGAACCAAAGCTAGAACCAGAACCAGAACCAGAGCCAAACCAGAGCCAGAGCCAGAACAGGAACCAGAGCCAGATCCAAAACCAGAACCAACGCCAAAACCATCATCAGAGCCACAACCGCCCGAAGGCATTACCGCAACAAAGGTCAGGCCCGAAGGGGGGATCCAAAACATGGATCCCCCCTTGCACGCCCCGGCGTGTGGAGGGGCACACAGGACAGATTCTGACCAAGGGGAAGGAGGGGAACCCAAAAAAATGGTTCCCACTTCCGCCCCTGAAAGCACGGCCGTTCGCTTGCACGCGATGTACAAACTACTGTTGTCTGTGGATGTGGCATCGCGCAGATGGCGATCGCATTGCGTTCCGAATAGCAGCGTCACGGGCACGGCCTTGCTACGTACCCTGGAGGGCCTCCAGAAAAAAGGACGTCCCCTTGAGGTGGACGCGGAGGGCTTGACATGGCCGCAGCAATCTGCTTCTCAGAAATTTCGGCTCGAAGAGAGTTCTCCTCCCGTTTCTCCCGCCAGCAACCCTGCGGTGGTTTTGCCAGTGAGCTTGGGGACGCCCCCCAGCCTCCTCGACTGAGCGCCGAGCTTCACGTTTGGCGAGGCGCTGCAGCACGTCGTAGACACAAAGATAGACGACCACCCTTGCATCAACGATCAAAAATGAGGGACGGCAGGGCAGTGCAAAATCGCCGATCTACTTGCGCAGTACGTGACGGATTGCGACAAGATGATCCAAAACTTCGCAGATTACCTGGGCGACTACCGGGGCGACGTTCATTGGGAAACACTGCACGACTGCTTGAAGACGTGCGACTACAGAGGCATGCCCGAGCATGTCTCCCTGAAGATGGAGCCACCTGGCAAGTACACTATGCCAGCCTTCGTCGTCAAGAAGTCCGCCGGCGGGCGAGCACGTCATCTTGAAAGATGTGAACCTCCTGGGGGTGCCGACGGGGGCAGACTCGTGCCTGCGGACGTGCCACGGCACTGACCTGATATGGCGCTATGGCAACCAGTATAGGAGTGGCCGCCTGGCCGTGCAGTGCATGCTGGAGAAGCTGCAGGGCTACCAGTTGCGCTACCGCACTGTGGTCCCTAAACCTGGCGAGGGGCCGTCTAGGAAGACGGCCGAGTGGGAGCTCAAGGCAGCGGGGCACAAGGTCATACATGCGACGGGGCCGCACGCCAATAATGCGAACCCGTTCGTGGAGTTCGCGGGTCGGGAGAGCGCTCGGCCAGAATCTCCCGTCTTCGGATGGGAGGAGAGCCGCATCGAGAGAGCGCTGAACAACTACGACAGGGGCAGGACAAACGCCAAGGGCCTCATGATTTGGGTCTTGACGCTTCGCGACTTCGAATCCTGGTTCCTCAACAACGTGATCAAGCGCATCCTGGCTTCCACCCTCAGGAGCTTCGGCGTGGCGTGGATTGGCAAGACGCGCGTCGGGAAGCGCGCTGGGTCTAAGTCATGATGAGCCGCGTGGAGATCAGAATGCGGGAACAGTCTGAAGCAGTCGAAGCGGGCGAGCTTGCAACGACGATCATGACCGCCTGGCACCTTGACTTCTTCAAAACTGAACCTGTGACCCGCGTCAGGCCAGAGGACAACCAGCCATCATTCATCAATCATTGACAGGTTTTCGAAATTGCCATTTTGAGGCGGCCCCCCATTGACCCCCGAACCCATTGAGAGGAAGTATCAGGCGGCGGCCGTTGTTGTAGTTAACCGGGGAACAACAGCCCAATTTTGAGACCCACCATTTCTCTGATAAAAACAGGGTGCGAGCCCTAGGAGCGGCACTAGAATTGAAAAGCACGGTAGGCACAGGAGTGCGGGGATCGACAATAAGTAGTCTTGCGACATGAGAAGTCAACTACACAAACGCGAAGGCACCAGCGAGGAGAAAGCGCCCCGCCGCCGCCCTGTGACAGGGCGCGCCCGCGCGCTCCGCGCAGCTTCAGCGAGTGCCCGCGCGGAGGAGGAGTGTGTAAAGATGCGCGTGTGGTTGGACGGGAGGGCGGCCGCTGCTTGGCTTGCACCTTCGCAGCGGGGCGGGGGGCGGGGGGGACGGGGCGAACTGCGTGTGAGGGGTCCCTAAAGTATGTGTTGCCCGCGCGCGTGTACGCATCAGCGTGCTCAACTTGGTTGTGTGATCGCTTCGGAAGGTCAGCAGGTTCACATCGTGTCGGACTTCCGCCCTCGGCGGAAAGGAGAGGGGGATCAGCACACCACATGTGCTCAGTTCGACGATCGAATGTGGCTGTTTGTTTTCTCCAGCGAGCTCCTTGCGGGACTTCACAAGCAAGTGCGCAAGAGGAAACACTACCCATATCTCGACGGAGACTGTGCATGCTGCCAGCTGCTGGCAATAGCCTGCGCCACCACTCAGCACTGAAAAGGCACATCTAGTACGCACCAACGTGTTGACAATGGCCCTCGCCACTATTCAGCTACCTTTCGGCTAATGTACTGGAACATGAGTCATATCTCGGCCAGGATTACGGGGGCTCGACACCACCACGCTAAACATGGAAATTAGCCCGGCTGAGCCAGCGCGCGCGTGCCAAATTACCTATTATGTTTGCTACACACACATACAATCCCGCATCGGTCGTGCCGAAAACGACAATCCTGTCGGCGTGTTTGTGGCGTTTTTTTTGTGCGCCAGGCTGAAGGAAATCAAGCAGCATCGCAATCGAGAGGCCCCAGGGGTGCGCCACCTCTCCTTGGGACTTCAGGTGGCCCCCCAAGCCCTCCTCAAGCGCTCCAGCAAAAAGACAATCACGCACCGTCACAATCGAGTCGCACAGAAGCCCCTACCCTATGATCCTTCCACCGCCAGGGGGGGGGGGTCCCCAGGGGGAGTCCGGAGAGGTCTCGCGAAGGGTTGTGGAGGGAGGGTCGCGGGGGAGGGGACTCCAGATGGCTGCAAGGGCTCCAGATAAACCAAGATGGCTTCCAGGATCGCCGATACCTCACCATGGTTCAACGTATTTTCCAGCATGCCTCCAAGAGGCCTCAGATCCACCTCGCTCCCTCTTCCCTGTCCGCGGCACCGTTGCCACACTCGCCACCGCACGTGCGCCGAGGCCGAAGAGCACAGTCTCTTGGCGAGTAGCATAGAACCCGTACCCCTACACATGGCCTCTTGGCAGAATTCAACATGCCGTGGGCAACGGCATTATCTACTGACCAACGCCGCCGCCGCCAACGCCAGCCGCTAGATGCAAGAGGCGCTGGCAGTGCTCGCCCAGTCGCTCCTGGCCGAGCCAACAGACCCATCACCTTCCACTTCACAAACACTTCAAATATGGTTATTGCGTGAACTACTGGAGGCTTCGCCTGGTTGCTGCGTCGCCGCTGCTATGTTATAGTTTGCTCCTGCGCGCAGCCCCGCCGAAACAGTGGCCATTTGTGGCGAAACGGCCCCAACACGCAACGTTTCTTGTACCCGTCCTCGAATACTTGGGCCGACAGGCCGCCACGAGCTTCAACGCGGCCCGAGAGGATCCCAATAGAATTCCCGACGCTGCGAAGGATGACCCACTGTGGTGACGGAACGCAGCACGGGCCCGAGAAGCCCCGAATTGCCTACGAGGTGGCTCCCGGGCCTCCTCCAAGGAGGTAAATAATCATTGTGGCAACCGCGCTCGTGTCCTGGAGGGTTTCGGCGAACCTCTCGGATCCCAGCACAGCCCGGCACAGGCCGACACGGCCGCCAGAACATTCCCGAGATACCCCCGAGCGCGCCCCAAGAGCCCCGAGAAAGCCCGACGAGAGGGTCCAAAGTTTTTTTTGTTATTATTTTTTTTTTCGACGAGAGGGTCCAAAGTGATATGTTTCGAAATCCAATGAGGCAGTCTTGCCTCTCAGGGCCCCCCACGCTGCGGCGGGTTGCCTCCGGAGCGGCCTCCAAAGGCCCGAAATGCGCAAAAAAACATCGAATGGGCCCCGAAGCCGCCCAGACCGCTTCAAGAGAGCCCCAATATTTTTCCGACAAGCGCCCCCGACAAACTACAACAAAGCAATGATCATTACATGATGGGGGACTGCCGGGTGGCCCCTACTCGGCGTGACAGGACTACGCATGCTTCACGAATGCACCCTTATCACGTTGAATCGCACCACATCCAACCAGCCCTTTAGGGCGCGAGTGGCCTAAGGAGCTCGTCATACTAAACCCCCTTTCTTCCCCTTCGGAGAGGGCCCCCCCTTCCCTCCCCCCCTCCCCCTGGGTCTGGACGGGGCGCCCCGCGAGCGGTCAGAGCGCCCAAGATGGCCCAAGATGGCCCCAGGGTGGTTCAAGAGAGCCCCACGTGGCCCCCAAGATCGCGCAAGATAGCCCAAAATGGTTCAATCTACCGTTTTAACATGCCTCCAAGAGCTCTCAAGACCGCCCCAGGACGGCTCCAAGTGCCCTCCGAGCCACCCAGAAAATCCCCAAGAAACCCGAATCCTTCAAAACCATGATGTTGTTCTATGGTTGCTGCATTATCGTCTTTTCGCATCCGATGGGCTCTCGAGGCTTCAAAATGGCTCCTAGATGGCCCAAGCGGGCCCCAATGGCGAGCCCAGGAGGGCATCAAGACGGTCCCAAGAGTGCCCCAAGAGCGGCCTAAGAGGGCCCAGGAGGCTGAAATTTGGCCCCCGACGGGAGGGGGGGGACCCTGTCTGTAATCGATGGCCCGGGCCCTCACGGCCTCCAAGAAGGCCCCAAGAGAGCCCCAAGAGCGCCTCAAGAGGGCTCCAAGAGAGGCCAAGGAGGGCCCAAGGGGCCTCCACGAAGGCCCCAAGAGCGCTTTCCATTTCTTGAAAGCCTCTTGGGCTTCCAGAGAAGCCTTCCACGCCTCGGGAAAGGCCTCTGGGGCTTCAGAGAGACCCCAGCGAGACGTCCGGGCCAGGTTAGGAAGTGATCCCATACAATCATATATGCCTTCATTTCCGCCCATCGATTGTTGGGTAAGGGTTCCACTTTTGCGATACATTCGAGAAAGTAGGCCCGGGCCCCCCACCACAAGATGCGGTTCTGTTCTTATATAACTATACACGTTTCGCTTTGGGGGAGGCACAGGTAGGTTTTCCAAGGGCCCCCGTGGGCCCTCCCGCAGAGCTTCCTGAGGCCCCCTGGGGGTTTCCCGGGGGAGACCCTTGAGAGGCCTCCAGGCCCTCCTGAGGGGCCTCGTGGGCTTTCTGAAAAGTCCCCCGTTGACCCTCGGATTTCCTGCGAAGGCTTTCGGTGATTCCGGCAGGCCTCTGGAGCGTCCCGAACGGCGTTTTGGGCCTCCTGAAAGGCCTCGCCCGCCCCCGGCTGCGGTTTTCCGGGCTGCGATTTCGGCATCCAGTGAGAAGCCGTTTGCGCTTCCGGGATTCCTGAGGGCATGCTTTCGGACAGCCAGTGTGGTTTTCTACGGTTGTTGCGTTATCGCGCTTTCGCATCCGATGGGTTCCTGGAGCCTCAAAATAAGTCCAAGATGGCCCAAGCGGGCCCCAGCGGGGGCCCAGGAAGGCACCGCGACGGCCCCAACAACGCCCAAGACCGCCCCAAGAGCGGCCCCGGAGGGCACCAGGAGGCTCACATTCGACCCCCGACGGGCCCTGTTGGGGACCCCCCGTCTCTTTGAGCAATGGCCCCAAAGGGGCCCTCAAAGCCTCCAAGAGGGCCCCAAGAGAGCACCAAAGGGAGCCCCAAGAGGGCCCCAAGAGAGCCCCAGGAAGGCCCAAGGAGCCTCCAAGACGACCCCAAGAGCGCTCCAGAAGCACAGGAAGGCCTCAAGAGAGCACTCAGATGGCCCTTGATGCCCCGAACATGGCCCCAAGAGGACCCCGCGATGGTCCAAAGAGACCGCCAAGACGCCTTCATAGCGAAAAATCTGCAAGGGCCATTTTCGTCGTCATCGCATTATTCGCCCTCGTCGTCGTGTCCGGCCCCCCCCAAAGCTGTTGTTGGTTAATATTCCCCTCACCCTCCTCCCGCCCCATCCTCCTCCGCTTCCTCCTCCTGCTCCTCCTTCTGCTGTTCCTCCTCCTTGTCCTAAACCTCTTCCTCTTCCTCCCTCCCTATGTGTCCGCATATTGGGCACGCGCTGCGCACGTGCTCGATGCTGGGCGCAGCGAGCGAGCAGCGCGGACGCATAGGTGGCAAGAGGACGCATGTCACTTCTGAAGTGCATGCTGCTGCACATCCCTCATCGAGGCAACTCGCCTGGCGATTGTTTTAAGATGGGCTGGCTGGGATACTTTTCGTCGCGGCAGCAAGCGGAAGCGCAGGCGGCGTCCGAAGTCAGCCCAGGCTACGAGCCAAATATTAGTACCTAAGCGCGCGAACTAACGGCCGCCGAAACTGCCGCCAAGGGACGCCGAGGAGGACTGGCTGGGATACGTTTTTTGGTCAGCGGCCACGAGGACAGCGGTCATGTGGCGAAGGCAACGTCCGGGCCACGGGCGAGGCTAATTGGCTAAAACAGAAACACTGGCTGACGCTGACGAACTGCTAGCTCAGGCACGTGCACTGGACAAAATGAACTGGCTGGGATACGCGAAACGTGAAGAATAGTAGGAGGAGGGCGCGACGGAAGCGCAATTGAGCGATGTTGAAAACGAAGTGGACAGCAGAAGCGCGCGGAGGAACTGGCAGACGGCAGGGAAGCAAGAGAGAAAGAGAAGCATGGGGAGAAGAGAAATAGAGGGGGAGAGCGAGAAAGAGAGAGAGAGAGAGAGAACAACAAAAAATGTACCAGAACAGACGACGCACGCGCGCTGGATTGCCGCGCACCCACGGGGCCAGAGGGATCGCAAGAGACACAAAACGATAGACCAGAGAGAACGATCAAACAGGGTAAGGGCCTCTTCCCCTACAGGTTCATTTCTCTTGCGCCCCCGCGTCCTCCTTCTCCGCTGTCCGACTCGCGCGACGAGAAGCCCGATCGCGAAGCCAAGCCCCGACGCCGCATGGCGAGCCAGGGCGTCAGAGGCAACCCAGCGACCCGCCCGCCCCCGGGCCCGAACCCACCGCCAGACTCGAGCTCAACGGGAACGTGCGGCCGAAAAGTTGCCCTGGGGGTACGGGTTCAATGCTGGCCACCGAGTCTCGCAGCCCTCCGCGGCTGGTGCCAGCGCTCCCGCGCTGGACCCACGCCCCCGCCCGCGGCGGAGGGATGGGGGCACCCAATGGCCGGAGGGGCGCCCTCGCCGCGGAGGAGCCCGCCGAAGGGTGGAGGTTCAAGCTTAGCCTGGAGGCACGCCATGCAGCCCCTCCCTGCTTGGAGGGCCGCCGCCGAGCCCCGCCCCGACACGTCCCAAGGCGAGCGGTCGACGGCCTCCAGGCGGGGAGGCATTCCGAGCAGGCGTCACGAGGCGCCACGGAGGGCACGGCCGTTCTCCCAGCCTCCCGGGCCGCCACGCGGAGCGGCCGTTCTCCCAGCCGTGCCTCCCTCTCGACGATAATGCACTCGGGGCTCCCGGTAGGCCTTCGCCGCGTCGTCCATCGCGTGCCCCCTCGGCTCCCAGGTCGCCGCGTGGATGCTGAGGACTTAGTAGAGCCCTGCACTCCCATGTTGCTGAGGTCATCCTCCTCCTGCAGAACGCCTGCTGGGTGAATTTTTCCGTCGCGGGGCCGCGCGGCGGCCAGCGCCCCCGCCAGCGCGCGGACGTGGCTCCCGGCCTGGAGGGTCGCGTGGAGCCCCGCCGCTGCTGGCGCCCTCCTCGGCAGGGTGCCCCCTGGCTTTCCCTCCCGCGCGCGGGCGTGTCCGACCGAGACTCCCCGTGTTCTCGCTCTCGAACTTGATGGGCGCCTCGAGCCTCTGTCGTCTGCCCCGTCGCATGCCAGCCCCCGCCTGCGCAAGCTTGAGCGCCCGCAGCCGAGAGACCCTCCTCTCGCCTGGCCCGTCGACGCCGGAGGGCCCGGAGCGCGCGGGCCCCGGGAACGACCTCTCCTCCCCGACAAGGCCACCTCCAGGGCGTCCAGGCGCCCCCGCCCAGCCGCCGTCTCGTCGCGTGGCCGGCGCCGCGCTCGACCCTCCCCAGCACCAGTTGGCCGACCGAGCCGCTCTCATCTCGGAGATGCCCGCGGCGCAGGCGGTGAGTCGCAGTGACAACCGACCCTGACCCACTCGAGGGCCCCCGCGCCTTGGCCCCCTCGCCCTGGGAAACAGAAACCGCCAGCGAGGATGACCCCGCTGAGGGCAGTCCGTCCCCTGCGTCGCTTCGAGCCGATCGCCTCTGGGGGGTCGTCGGCGTGGGCGAGCTGCCCCACGGGCAACACGCTTCCCCGCAGGCGGCTGCTCACCTGGCGCGGCGCCACACCGCCTGGACCACCACCCTGGCGCGCGGGAGATGCCAAAAGGGCCGATGGCGTTGCCGTGGATCTCGCCCTCGAACTCGATGGCCAATGCGCCCCACTCGTCCCCACCGATCTCGATGAGCCGGAGCGTGCCGCTGGCGTCGGTGACGAGCGAGAACAGGGCCTCGCGCTGATCCCTGTAGTGGCAACCTCGTCAGTGATGACCTCAAACAGGTAAAGCTTGAGCCCGCATCCCTCCTCCATTACTCCTGTCGCGCAGCATCTCGGAGCTCTTTCCTCCTCCCGTTCTCCTCCCCGATCCTGCTTCCTCCCTGCCCACCGCGCTCTGGTCGAGGCATCGCCACGAGTTGCTCCAGCATGGCTCCTCCCTGACCAGGCCCTGCAGTCAACCGAGGAATCGTGCTCGTGTCTCGGCGCCAGCTACCTCCTCCGTCGGGCCATGGGCGCCCCAGGCCGCTGCCGGAGCACAGTGCGACGACAGAAGTGCAATCGAATGGTTCGTTTGGGTCTGACCCCTCCTCGCTTCTCTCCCCTCCCTCTCGGAGCCCAGAGCTTCGAGGATGTCTTGAGCGAAACGCGCCAGACCACCTTTGGCGCGGCATCTCGGAGCCCAGTTGCGAGGATGTCTCAAGCGAAACGCGCCAGACCACCTCGCGCGCATGTTGTGAGAACCCAGAGTTGGGAGGATGTCTCAAGCAAAACGAGCTGAAACACCCCGCGCACATCTTAAGGAGCCCGGAGTTGCGAGGATGTATCAGGCGAGACGCGCCAGACCACCTCGCGCGCAGCACTTCGGAGCCCAGAATAGCGAGGATGTCTCAGGCGAAACGGGCTGGACCACCTCGCATGCGACATCTGGGAGCTCAGAGTTCCGAGAATGCTGCAGACGGCCCCCAGACCCCTCCCAGAGCACAATTCGACAACTGATGTGTAATCAAATGGCTCGTTCCGATCTGACACCTCCTCCATTCTCCTCCCTCTCGGAGCCCAGAGCTTCGAGGATGTCTTAGGCGAAACGCGCCAGACCACCTCGCCCGTAGCATCTCGGGGCCCCGAATTGCAAGGATATCTCAAGCGAGACGGGCCGCACACCCTTGCGCACATTTTCCCAGAGCTCAAGGTTGCAAGGATGTCTCAGGCAAAACGAGCTGGACCACCTCTCGCGAAGCATCTCGGAGCTGATGGGTGCGAGGATATCTCAGGCGAAAGGCGCCAGACCACATCTCGCGCGGCTGCTCGGAGCTCAGAGAGTTGCGAGGGTGTCTCAAGCGAAACGCGCCAGACCACCTCGCACGCGGCAGCTCGGAGCGCAGAGTTGTGAGGATGTCTCAGGCGAAATGGGCTGGACAATCTCGGAGCCCCGAGATGCGAGGATGTTTCAGGTGAAACAAGCCGGACCACCTCGCGCGCGGCGTCCCAGACGCCAGATTTTCGGCGGAACGGCCCCGACAACCTCTCGCACGGCATCTCGGGGCTGTCTCAAGCGAAACGGCCCAGACCACCTCTCGCGCGGCGTCCCAGAACCCAGATTTTCGAGGACGTCTCAGGCGAAACGGCCCAGAGCACCTCCCGTACGGCATCTCGGGGCTTAGAGTTTCGAGGATGTCTCAAGCGAAACGGCCCGGAACACCTCGCGCGCGGCGTCTCGGAGCCCAAATGTTCGAAGATGTCTCAAGCGGAACGGCCAATGCCGGACAACTCAGAAACGAGAGTCGTGAGGATGTCTCAAGCGAAACGGCCTGAAACACCAGATTTGTTTGAGGATGTCTCTGCTCCCCTTCCCTCAGCCGGAGTTAGCTTCTATCACAACAGCATCCCATTCAGCAAGCTGTTTGGGAAAAAAGTTATCCTTCGATGGTCCGCCCCCATTTTCCCCGCTCTCTCTCTCTCTCTCTCTATCTCTCTTCTCTCTTTCTCTCTCTTTCTCTCTCTATCTCTCTCTCTCTCTCCCCTTGATGTTTCCCTTTACGGGCGCGCAACCTCATCCTCGTCCTCCTCTTCCTCCTCCCTTTCCTCCTCCTCCATCTAGCACACAGGGTCGGCGGCACTGGCCGTAAGGCCCTCGCAATATTGAAAGTCGCGAGAGACATCAAAGAGCACGCTTACGACCCCTTCTTCTCGGAGCCATCTCTGGCCGCATCCCTCGTCATTCTCAAGATGTACACGACGAGGCACAAATTCCCTGCGACGCCGAACGTCTCGGCGGTCAGGTGGGTGTTCATCCAGGAGCACGCGCCGCTGGCGCCTACCTTAAGCTCCTGCTTCAGGAAGAAGGTGAAGGTCCACCACAGGACCGAGAAGCCCACCAGCCATCGCATGTGGTTGGAGCTCCTCCACCCGTCCACCCAAAACCGCAGAGGCCACAGCAAGAGCGGCTGCACGAACGCGGTGAGCCCGATGGTGAGGGCTCGGGGCGATACCACGGCGACGTTGAGCACGATGAGCAAATAGGCGACCGCCTCACTGATCCTGCGACCCGTCTTCGCTCTGGTCGGGGAGGCGTGCATCCAGGAAACACTGAAGCCGTAGTGCCTCATCCAAACAAACGCGATGTTCATGAGACAAGTGAAGGGGACGCGGAACTTGTACCCCCACGACGCGTGGATAGCAGCGTGCATCAGAAGATAAACGCACATCCACTGAATGCAGCGCTGGGCGTTCTTGTGGAACTTCTCGTAATTTGCGCGAGCCAACAGGACAACAAGAAGCACGCCTAGGAGGTTTGCACTGGTGCCTAGGAACTCCGGCATACCCAGCAGCTCTACGTCAGTTGCGTAGTCCCCATGAGGGTCAGAAAAAAACCAATTCGAGACCTCCCATGACATGATGAGAGGGGGAGGTGCGTCCTGTCCCGCTGCGCACCGGATTGTTGCATGTGCCATCCGCGCCAGCAACTGGGAGTAGCGCGTGGGGAGGGCGGCAGGCGCACGCTGGACTAATGGCCACGAAAGCCAAAATGACTCTAAGACCTTCCGCCTTCGCCTCCCACTCTGCCTCCGCCCTCCTCCCCCGCCCGCGGCTCAACCTGCCCCCCTCCCCGCCGCTTTTGTGAGCTCCCACCCCCATTACCGCCATCTAGGTGCATACCTCAGGCAACTCTCTACGGTCAGGAACTTCTGCACTGCATGTCACTACGGACACGATATGCCTTGAGAGCGAATAGCGTGTTGCTCCGCTCCGCGGGATGGGATGCTGGGAAGAGCACGGCACGTGGACGTCTGGGGAGCGCCAAGTGGATGGCGTGTCGCGCCGAGGCGTGGTGGGCTGGACCCGGCGAAGCGACACGCTGTGAAAAAGACCTCGGACTCGTCCGATGAATGCGAAGAAGCAAGCCCTCACCAAATACGAAAGAATGGAAAAATGGAGAAGAAGAAACAAAAGCAGAAAGGGGAGCGGAAAAGCGGAAGAGTGGAACTGAAAAAGTGGGAAAGGCAGAAATGGGAAGGCGGCTGGTTTTCCAAACGAGGCTCTCGCCTTGGCGCCGCGCACGGTCGTGCTGACGGTGCCCACCTGCTACACAAATAGAAAAGACAAGTTTGCTCAAAACGCGTCGATGTCGATGACCTTAGCGCCGCGTAGACTCGCCTGAAACGCTCCCAATACCTGTACGAATGGAGAGCAAACCCGTTTCTACATGTGGATATCGCATGCTTGACAACGCGCGATTCACTCTCAAACTCGGTAGTTACGCGAATGGTCGGCGGCTCATTGAAAACATGGGGATCTCGACTGATACCCCTTCAATGCAATGGTCAGAAGAGTACACATGTGCAACAGCATCACGGATGGAGGGCGGATCTCTTTCAAAATGTGGTACACGCTGGAAACGCCGAACGAGTTTACGGACACATCTGCTGACCTGTGCCACGCGGACGAGGGTATACGGATGTTTCTTTCCAGGTACGGTCTCTCGCTGGACACTTCCACCAAAGTCAGGATATGATCCCCACCCACATCTCCAGAACGAAAGTGTTTCCCTCGTGGGCCTGGACATGATGGCGTCAACTCATGCACTGGCGCGCATAAGAGAAACCATGGTGGTTCCAATGAAATCGGTGCGGACCCGAATTTCTTTTGGATTTGTCCTTGAGCATCCAATTTCCGTTCGCGTGGACTCGATTTCACATGTTGTGGATATGATTCCCGTCCTGCTTTTTTCGCGCGGATCCAGTGTGTACCCGGTGTCAACTTTACACGGCTGCCTCACATCAGGGGACCTAGAGAAATCAGATACGCGGCACCCAGGTCCGCTGCTGCTAAGACTACACAGGGGAGGGAGGTTGAGCTACGAGCTGCCACAGACAAGTCGCGCGATGTCTGACGGACTCCATCAACCCTCACCGCGCGCGGGACGCACACATCATGCATACATCTTTCCTCGCCCCCAAGCTGCTGCAAGCAGCTTGTCCATGTGCCCTGCGTTTGGCGGCGCCGATTGTCTCTGCTGGCGCCTCACGAAGGACGGCGCTGGTCCTGCAGTGCGTCCTCGGCCTGCCCCCCCCTGGCCCACACGACGGCCTCTGCGCTCTGCCACGCGGCGGAGCCGCGCCCGCCGCCGACCGAGTGCGTGGCTGGAGGGCGGCATCATCTGTCTCAAAACGCCTCCGCGCGCCTCGGGGGGGGGGGGGGGGGGGGCGAGATGTGGCGCGTCGACTCCTGTGGCAACAGGCGAGCCCCGGTGCCAAAGCGCCACTGCGCCCTCGGCCTGCGCCTCCTGGCCCCGCGGACGGCCTCTGCGCTCTGCCACGCGACGGCACGGCTCCTCGTCCGCCACCGACCGAATGCACGGAGGGAGGGCGGCATCTGCTTCAAAGCGTGGCGACGCGCCGAGGGGGAGTCAACACGAGATGTGGCATGTCGCTCTGTGACAACAGATACATCCGAGGTCCAAAACGCCCATCCCCAGGAAGGAAGCGTTGCCCTCTTGGGCCTAGACATGATGGCTTCAACTCTTGCACCAGCGCGCATGAGGGGAAACGATGATGGATGCGATGAAGATGAGGCGGCTCCGAATACGGCTTGGATTTGCCCTGCGGTGGATCCGTTTTCCGTCCGCACGGACCCGACTCCACATGTTGCGGAGATGATTCCCGTTATGTTTTTCACGCGCAGTCAGTTTACGCCCAGTAGTTGCAGCAGTAGAAGCAGTCGTAGTCGGCGTTAAATCACGAATCGTAGAGACACAAGTTAGTAGGCCGTACTAGGTCGTCGTACTAGATCGTGGTAGGTCGTGGTGGGGCGTACGAGTAGTACTTGTAATACTAAACTTAATCGGAGCAGTAGTGGTAACAAACATTGTAGTAGTGGTGGTATTAGTAGCAGCAGCAATAGCAGAAGTAGTAGTAGTAGTAGTAGTAGTCGTCGTCGTCGTCGTCGTCGTGGTAGTAGCAGTAGTAGTAGTAGTTGTTGTAGTAGTAGTAGTAGTAGTAGTAGTAGTAGTAGTAGTAGTAGTAGTAGTAGTAGT